ACTGTTCCTGATCCAGAGGTTTGGCGGAAACGTGCAGCTGGAGGCAGCTTCAGATCGCATTCTGCAGACCATGACGTCACTAATAGAGCAACAGCTGAAGGCTTCGGCAGGATTGAGGCAGGATTTGTGTAGAAAACGGCGGAAAGTTGGAGCAGCTGGTTCGGTCGAGCTGCTTCCTGTGAATTCAGACTCCTCTCTTTCCCCATGAAACGGTTGTTTGGGTCTAAAGATCATGTAAAAAAAAAAAGATAACGCTGTTTATTCCTGGTTAAAATGTCACTCTGTGTTCCTGTAAACATGCTAGTTAGCTAAACCGGTGGCTTTAAATGGTCTGTAGGACCAGTGTGTGTTGAAATAAAACTTTCCCTTGATCCAATATGGCGGCTTTCAAGATGGCGGCCATGTTCCGGACACAGGCCGGAGGTTCGGCCTCCTCACGCCTTACCGGCTGGGGGGCTTAAATATGTTGTTTCCCCTTTAGTTTCTCAGATAAATCGTGTTGCTTTTGACTTCCTGTGGACTTCAGAGGAGCCGACTGAGGAACGGCGTCGGGGTTTGTTGGACTGGTTTGACCCGGACTTTGTTTGCATTTAGCTAGCTGTAGAGCAGCGGTTCTTTAATCCTATGAACTAAATATGTCGAGCAAATAAAAGAAAGCGGTCGGACGAATATGTACATGGATTCACGTGTTATCAGGAACGGGACGGGAGTCGGAGTCCTGTCTGCCAAGTTGAGCAACTCTAGTCTCCCACCCACAAAACTAAAATTACATAATAAAATAAAAAAAATTGAGTTATTAATAATTAAGTTATTAAGAAATGTTAAATTCTTTTAAAAAATGCACATTTATTTTTAATTAGTAAAATAGTAAAAAAAAAAACTTTATTGGAGCTGAAATTCTTTTATTGCGCTGAAATATTTTTGGGGGGCCAGAATAATAAAATAAAGTAATCCGGTAATTTTATGAGAGTTTATACACTGTTGGTTTTGTTCTCTGAGCAAGGTGATGTTCATGTACGGCTCAATTTGTGCACCAGTAAAAAAAACAAAAAACATAAACCTCTGTCTTTGGGAAAAAAATCCTATTTTATTTATCGCTAAAAAGGTTCAGTGAATGTGCATCTGGTGGCTCCGGTACCTCGGATAAGGTTAAGAACCGCTGTTTCTTTGGAGCTGAAGGGCCTTCGCCCGCGGCGTGCCGACCGGGCGAATTCCCCCGCCACCCGAGGGTGTTTGGACAGCTGTCCCCGCCTCCTTCGCTCCCTCTCTGGGCCTCTCCGGCCGTCAGCTGCCGGCCGTGAAACAGAGACCGGAGCTGGAGGGGACAGCTGCCGTCCACCCCGGACTCACACCGCTCTCCGATCCTCAGAACCGGCCCACTGGGGTTGGTTTCCACGGAAACGGGAGAAGCTGCGCTTTTATTATCTCTTTTTTTTTTTTTTTCTGGGCTATTTTCTTCCTCCTCTTACAAAATGCTTCATTTCATTTAAGCAGAACATGCAGGAATCAGAGCAGAGAATTCGTCCATAAGGGGAAACGGACCCGATACGGGCAGAACCGGCAGCCCGGCGCCTTGCTCAAAGGCAGGCCTGCCCGCCTGCTCTCAGAGGGCGCCGTGACGGCGACCTTTTGCCGCGTCGGCACCAGTCCCGTCTAGGGCTGTCACAATACTAACATTTTCAACTTGATACCGATACTCAGAAAAATATTCGATACTCAATACCAGGATAAAAACAAAGACCCCAAAATTTTACTGAATTTTTTACTACCACTATTATAACATAATATTAGTTGAATTCAGTGTTTGCAAGATTAATTGAACTACTTTTAGATGAATGTCTCTATAGCCATGAAGCAATTAGGATTTTCTTGCCTGGGATCATCCTATTGATGACCTAAACAAAATGGCCGACTTGGATGTGGGCGGAGTTGGATATCCATCCTTGGCTTCCTGCAGTCTGCAGCCAGAAGGACTTGAATTAATGTTGGCGTGTTATTATTAGCCATTAGCCGCAGCTAGCAATTCAAGGCTAACGTCATGTTAATAATCATAAACGACGTAAATAAATTAATTAATCAGAGAGAAGGGGCACAGCGTCTGCAGGTCAGCCTCATTTTTGCCAGACAAAGCTCTACAACTGCCATCTTCCCCCTGTTTCTGGTATTTCTATAAAAAAAGACCACAGTAATAAGTTTTTTTGCCTTAATCACAACGAAAACTGTCAAAACCGTTACTTTTTCATCTGAATGTGACTCAATTAGAGTCAATTAGATTTAATTGAATATGAAAGCATGAAGACAAAGAACAACAGCGTCGGTGGGATACAGTCGTCTTTGACCTCGCTCAGCCCCCGGCGGCGTCTCCGTAACGAGACTCATCTGCTGTCTATTAGCCCGGTTTTACATCCAATCAGCTTGTTTTTATTCTCAGTCTATACGCGAGTCATTCCATGGTGAGAATCTCCAGTTATTGAGCGTGCATTATGCTGCCCACACAGTTAGATTTTCTTGTCAGATTCAGGGCTAAGAAGCAACCCAACTATATCAAAGTCCCCCCACATCCTGGAGCCGGTGGAAGTCTGCTGAACACCGCTTTAGTTAAAGTACTTTTCGGTCGGTTGCGTGCAGTATAGAGCAGAGGAATTCACCTCTTTTCACGGAGGTCCCCTGCTCCAACACACCTGATTCACATCAGTGGGCCATAAGCAGGCTAGTGTGGATCCATTTAACCAGGATCAGGTGTATGGGAGGAAAGAAACTTCTAAAAGCTGCAGGGGGCCCAAACCAGATCCCAGCTGAATCCCTCATCCTGACACACAATGTGTCCGGTATAAACGCCCCGCCTTTTGGGACTCGTGTGAGTCACGTTGGATGAAAAGCTGTGGGCGGAGCCGGTGTAACCACAGGTTAAAGAAACTGTTTGATTATGCGGCTCTGAAAAAAGCAGCAGGACAAAACAGCTGGACACGCGGTGGAAGCTACATAAAGGCAGAAGAGCTTAAAAAGACTGAGGCCTCAGCAGGCCCTGTTCACAAAACATAAGTCGCACACTTAAGCTGCTGTGAAAGCTTTTCTTAAGCTTTACAAAGTTAAACAGCCATGAAATACTCAGATTGTGTAACAGTTGAAGAAAAGACGTTTGAATGGGGCAAATCTGCTGCAGTTTCCTTGTTCACATGGATACGTTTGAATTAAACTGTGATAAATGTTCCTTTGTTTTGCCTCTTCTGAGACAATTATTTCTAATCTGCTGAAATATGCAAATATGCCGTGTGCATTTAAACATTTGAATGTAATCTAGAAACGAGAACTGATTCAATTTTTTTTAA